GGTGGGGGGTCGGGTGCAGGGCTCCTTGGGGCGTGGGCGGGGGCATGTGTGTAGGGTGTGTGTTGTTTGGGAGGGGCGACGATTTGCGGGGACGGCAAAAGGTTTCATGGAGGTTGGCGCGGCGTGGAGGCGTGCTCACCTGCACTTTCGGAACCAGCCGCCGGGGGGCATGTGCACGCCCAGCACAGTGCTGGAGCAGTCGGGGTCGGCGTCGAGGTCGTCAAACAGGGGGAGTTGCTGCTGCTGCTGCTGCTGCTGCTGCTGCTGCTGCTCGTTTTGGATCTGAGAGCCATGCCGGTGAAGCAGCTGCTGCTCCTGTTGCTGCTGCTGCAATTGCTCTTGATGCTGCTGTGCAGCAACCGGCTGCTGATGCTGCTGATTGGGCTGCCACTGATGCTGCTGATGGTGGTGCCGCGAATCGCTCCACGCCCCATGCTTCTGGTGGGTTGGGTGGCCGCCGCCCCCCTGCGGGCCAACCGCCTGGTGCAGAGGGTGACAGGTTGGATCCACGCGTTGCGCCGGGTCAGAAAATGATGCTTATGTGACTTCAATTCTTCAGGACATGCGATCGGGCCCGCTCACCCGCGGCTGAGGACACTCTTGGAAAGGGTGAGCGCCTGCGGCCGTGATCACGCTGTGGGCAGGGGGGCTGCACATGTAATCCGGATTGATTTGGTCACCAAGCTGGTCGTGGGAGCGGCGCAGGGCATCAGAGATGCCCAGCCACGGCTCCCGCTCATCCTTGCCCGAGGCGGGAGCGAAAGAGGCAAATGTAGTCATTTATGTCGATCTAAGACTACTTTTAATGCCGCGACAAGCGCCAAAGGTGCAGGTGACAGGGCCGTGGCTGGGTTGAGGTTGAAGTGCAGTTTGAATGCCAATGGGCAGAGCGGCAGGCGGTTGCAGCTTCACACCCGTGACACTCAACCACCAGAGTTGTGTACTTTGCGGCCAATATCCATCAGAAGTTGCGTGATTACATAAGTGGGTGCCGCACGCGTTGGTATGTCGAGTCAAAAGTATGCAGGGGCTGGTGTGCAGGCGCAGAGATACAGGGCGTTGACCGTCCAAGTCACAGGATCAGGAGCTCAGCGGTCAAAGGGAAACGGAGCAGGACGCACGAGCGCCGAACCGCCCACAACACGACACCTGTCCGGTCGTCATCGCCCCACCAGAGCACAGCCTGCATGCATGTCCATCCTGCCTCCAGGGGTCGAGAGGTCGAGAAGCCGCCCCAACACGTGCGCACACGCCGCGGGCACAGCGTCGGCACACCACGGCCCTGCGGGCGCTACGCGCACGCCCCAACAATCGCCGCGGGTGCCCTGCAAAGGCCGTCAAATGTTGGTCGGCTGGGGTCAACGGGGGGGGCGTTGGGGCTTTCAAATTTCGCGAGGGAGGCAAGGATGGCGCGAGGGCACCAGCCCACGGAATAGACTCGCTAGGTCAGAGAAGCAGAGGTGCGAATTGGATGTCAAACGAGGCTGCCATCGCGGTGGCCTTGTTTCCGGGTGTTGCCGCCAGCCGCACGCACATTGCAGCGGCAGGACACAACCACGCAAACCATTTGGCAGCGACGCTGCATGCACGCGCGCGCCACAGGGGGGTCGTAGACAGCCGAGAAGCGGCCGAGTGCTGCCGATAATGCAACAGGCCAAGCCGGAGGGGGCCGGCTGCGCAGAGGGGGGGGCGGATGCATGGCCCTGGGGGCGCCTTCTGGCCCAACCACCGGCCCATTCACCGGCCCGCCCGCCCTTCGCCGATGCCCCCGGGCTCAAAGCCGCGGCCGGTGAGCACGGCCTGGCGGCGGCCATGGGCCGCCAAGGACCGCGCGATGTCCCGCACGCGCGCAGACGGCGCACTGAGTCCCGTCCTCGCCGGCGCTCGCACTGCACGTGCAGCCGCCGGCCCGCCTGCGCGGCTGGATGACCCCCCATCTCTCGCCTCACTCCACGAGCTGGGTGTCCAGGATGCGGCTGCGCAGCGTCAGCAGCCGCCACCCGCCAGCGCGGCTGTCGCTGGCGCGCACCCACTGCGTGCGGACGTCTACAAGCGCGTCGGCCTTCTCCTCCCACGTCTCCTGGCTGGGGCGGAACAGGCCGTCAGCGGACTCCTTGAGCCACCGCATCACCTGGGGGTGAGATGCAAGGGGGCAAGGATGGGGG